AAAGAAAGAAAGAAAGAAAGAAAGAAAGAAAGAAAGAAAGAAAGAAGATGGATTTCATGGAGAATAATCTAACCTTCAGTGTAATTCTAGGATATATTGGTTATCTGCTTAACCTAGACTCGTCTAAAAAAAGAAAATAAATGAAAACAGTCTACTAGACTAACTCTCTACATTTGTTGTTTTTAACATTATTCTACTTAATATTTATTTTATTAATAATTTATTTTATTAATAATTAAATATTAATATTTATTATTCTACTTTGAAAATATTTAAAATAAAATTCAAGTGTCTATTTTCACTGCCACAGAGAAGTAGTACATAGCATTAAATATTTAAGAATCTGGTTTTGATTAGTACATTGCATTTCAGATAGTGGAGCAAATGTATCAATTAAAGGCATCCATAATTGCCAAATTTCATACACATATATTAATAAATGTTCATGAAAAAAATGTGAATCACCTCCAAGAAGTATCTTTTACAGTACTAAAACATATTACAACTCTTTTCTAAAAAGTAATTCCCTATAGTCTCATAAAAGAATTTGATGAGACTGTAACGATTACAAAAAAGTTCAGCTTGAAATACAATCAATGTTAAACATGTATCATTCCAAACTTTGCTCACTATACATGATCATGTTTCATAATTTACATTAAGTAATAATTTTCATTCATTTTAAGAATTGACCACTGAATATTTTGTAGTATTGGTTGTGTGCTTTGTACCCTATAAGTGCATAAGCGCACCAACGTGCCTACCGTCCGTCCTATTGTTTCTTTTATTTTTCTTATATGTATACATTTCATGTATTCATAACTATGTTTATCCTTATACTTATTAACTTGTAAGCAATTGACAAATCAAATAAATAAAAATAAAATAAAATATAGAACACAGTATAACAGTATTTAAGACAAAATAAGACAAAACAATAATAGTAAGAGAAATTGCACAAGGTTCAGTCTCTCCTTATTACATTAGACTTGATAATGACTTTTAGTAGATTTTAAGATTTCCTAGGTTTTTAGAAGTTTTCTTGGTTGCAACTATGTGACTAAGCCCGGGTGCCAACACTGCATTGTATAATTAAATATACTCCCACTCAAGTGAAAGCTGTAATTTGGTGTAGCACATGAATTTTTCTGGAAAAAAAACTGTACCTTTCCAAATATGTTTTAGTACAATACTGTCCTCTACAGGCAATGCTGAAGACATGTGCATGCTATTACAAATTATAGATATTTTGTTAAAAGTTGGCTGCTTTACATTCATCTAGAAAAAGTTAGCTATGTACCCAGATGGCCACTTTTGTCTTTGAATTACTAATATCATTTTCTTTAACCATTCCATCTGACCAATAGGAAGTATATTTGCTAAATCACTTCCCCACTAATATACAGTAGATCATACAGCTATAATATGAAAAAAGAAGGGGCCAGTGATGGTTCTGGATATGAAGATAATGAAGATTTTTTTAAAAAAACCAGGCAGCTATAATAAGGCTCCTTTTGAAGTTGCTCATAAATGAAAACTAAACAGTGACAATCACTCCTCAAAAAGGACCTTAACCAGAACTACAATCAGTGCAGTCCCCTGGACTCATGGCATCTAAGGCACTCTGCAGAGTTATACCCATTTTTAGATTGAGAGGCAATGCTCAGCCTTTCTCATGTCCAAATTGGCCCATTGCGATGGGCCCATTTACACGGCGTTGCTCTTAAAAAGTATGTGGGAGCTTCAGTTGATCCAGAATATGAAACAATCTGTGGTTCTCAGTATACCAAAGTAACACCATTGTTATGGGAGCTTCATTGGCTCCGAGTAAGTTTCTTGTTGCAATTCATATTCTGGTTATCACCTTTAAAAATCAACATGGCATAGTGTCAGACCTCCTGCTTCCAGTGGTTTTGCCAGTCCCACAAAATCGAGCAATAGTGGACCCATTCCAGATTCCTTCAATGAAGCAAGACCAAGAAAGTGGGCATTCTTTGTGGCCCTGGCTGTGAAACAGCCTCCTCCATGAAATGTGGATGGCAGTGAACCAACTGCTCTTCCCCAAAGCATACCAAGACAATAATGGAGCCCTATGTATATGTATTACTAAGTTGTCTGTGCAAAATGGTTGTGCAATTGCACTAGTTGTGACCTTCCATGCCATAGGAGGACCTAGCAACAGTAACTCATGCCTCATTACCATCAGGCAGAAAATTGCAACATGCTTTTATATGGGGCTATTTGAAAAATACAAAGGGTCCACTCCATACTGGTTCCTAGCATTTGGAGCACATGATTCTGTGGACCCTCTAATAGCTGCCAAGGAATTATCACTGTTACACAAAGTCAAAATTTGACTCAGAAAGAAGAAGTTACAATTACTCTAACATGCTGATACCATCTGCACTACCACCTCTTTTGCAGAGGCAAAAGTAGGAAACATTATGAAAATGTATACTAATGAGAATGGCCCTAGGAAGTTATTTGCTTGCTCACCAGTTTCTGCTCATACCACACCCTTGCTCTCCATTTAAAATACTTTAGCAATCCACGAGTCTTTTCATGTAGTAGAACATGTCTAACCTGTAAAGATAGTATACTGAAGAACTAAAAGATACCAAATCGTGAATCAGCTTGCAACGATGCTGGTGTATGTCTGTCTAA